CCAACCAGGTAGGGCTTGTTGTATATAAAGATTAAAGTCTTCATTTTGGTAGTGTATCTCCCAAGAAACCACTAGTTCCCCACCTACCCCTCCATACCCCCTTCCCCAAATTCTGAGTGCTTGTTCTCCCTAAATATTTAAAGGCAAAATTTACAATTTACTTCAGTACTTTTTCCTCTCAGTTTATATCCCTATTAGGGATTATATATATATATATACATATATATATATATATTTTTTTTCTTTTCCCCCAGTGGTCAGATTATTATGACCACCTGATGTTTGCAGGCAAATTAGCTATAATTTCGCACTGAAGTTGCTAGAGGGCCAGACCATTATAAATAGGGAAGCGGGTTGTTTACCACAACAGTAGAAGTGATTTTTTTCTGATGATATGGGTAAACAACGCGATTTAACAGCCTTTGAACATGGGAGATTATACACACACTCACACACACACACATACACTGAGTGGCCAGATTATTATGACTACCTGACATGTGTAGGCAAATTAGCCGTACAGTGCATCATATGGGATACGAAAGCTGAAGGCCTATTCGAACACCTTGTTGTCTGCAGTTACGAAGATAAAACGTCTCCAATTCGCACAGGGAACAACACAAGGATTAAACAGTTGAGCATTGGAAAAAAGTCATGTGGTCCGATGAATCATGTTTCCAGTTGCATCAAGCAGATGGCAGAGTGAGAATTTGGCGGAAGCACCATGAAAGCATGCATCCCACATGCATGAGTACAACCTTTCAAGCTGGTGGGGGCAGTGTTACAGTTTGGGGCATGTTTTCCTGGCATGTTTTGGGCCCTTTAATTCGTGTGGAACAACGTCTGAATAGCACAACAGACCTAAGTATCATTGCTGATCAAGGTCATCCTATCATGTTGATGGCGTATCCCAGTGGTCAGCAAACTCATTAGTAAATAGAGCCAAATATCAACAGTACAACAATTGACATTTCTTTTGAGAGCCAAATTTTTTAAACTTAAACTATATAGGTAGGTACATTGTTATTAATTTAATTAGGGTACTCCTAAGCTGGCCTTTGCTAAAAACATCCTCAATCTGATTGAGGTACGTTCCCTGAGGGCGAGGCTGAGCTCCAGTAATCCAGGATGGGGGTGTGGC